TGAATTTTAGGAAAAAATAATTACATACTGAACATAGAAAAAAATCGAAAAAACTTGATGATTATTTTTAGAGCTTCATCGAGGCATGTTCAATGTTTCTTTCATATCTATTCAAGAATCATTCAGAGAAGACTAAAATTTTGAATTTATAGATTTTTTTTCTTATGGTCTTTTAATTGTAATGATCAAAAAGATGGGATGTCAAAATTTTCTTATAACATAATTTCTCCATTGAATCATGGAGTATCTCTTAAACTTTTTCTAAATCATAGTAAAATTGAGACAAAAAAATTTGCAAAGTCATGTTTTCATATACATTTTTTTTTCCAATAAACCTTGTACATCTAATTATATTGAGTATATATCTTATTTTCAATCACGATCATTTGCGCAGATGGGAGCATACCCAAGAATACTTTTTTTTTTTTTCTCGTTCTCTTCCTCGAGAGTAGAAACACATGCAAAAATACAATGACACATATAATGTTTATTTTAATTATACATCACTTTTTGATTTTTTTTACGTCGTTAACTACGTTTTTATTTAGAACACAACTTTTGAAATAAGTTAGTAAGAAAAAGAAGGAAAAAATGATTTGAAAAAAAAGACATATATGGTGTGCGATAACAAATCATGCGAAATTTGTACATACTAAGTCACAATATAAATACACTGGTTAAGCAATATTGCGCACAAACAAACATGCAGGTGAGGTATGTCATGTTTAGTGATACATAGAAATTTCTTTTTATGCCGGAAACGTGAATGAAAAGTATGTGAAATGACTTTCATTCAAACAAAAACACTGAGGATTGATCAAGTAGTGCTATTCAAACGAGAATAGTCGTGATTTTACTGAAAAACCTAGTGACCACACAATATTGTGCAAAGTTTGTTGTTATCATTCAAATTGGTCATTTTCCAATTTGATGTAAATAAGAGAACGTATCAAGTGAAGCGGACACTCATGACGAAAAAATGGGAAAAAAAAGCTGTTTTTGTAAATAGAATTGAGTCGTATAATTTCAAATAAAGCCCTATGAATCTAGTACCAAAATGTTCGTCTTAACGTATTCTATTAGCTAATATATGATTCGTAGCGTTTCGCCGAGAAAAATCTTAGTGGGTCCATTTTGCATCTTATGCATCCCTCTTTCCTCATTATTCGTAGTCTAAATCATACGACGGTTTATTCAGATACGAATCTGTTCACGACGATGGCGAGAGATGGAGCACTGGAGGATTTTGTCTGAACTCCACCTTAGTGTGGCCATTTAGTGCAGAAGTTTTACCTCTCATGTATTTAACCTGTGGCTCCGAATCAAATGGCTAATTTTGTTCTTCGTTTTTGAAGCACTTTCTAGTGATTCAAAGAGTTGATTCAGGGCTCATCCAATAGAAAATTTTTTGCTCTACAAAATGATATGTTTTATATATTGTAACACTCTTTTAAACTAATGGAAAAACGTGAAGAATGAAGAGATTCAAAATTGGGTACGTGACAATGGGTATGGGTGTTGATCTTTCCTGTCATACATATCGACATCCACACCCACACCCACACCAAGCTCTCTATGACGATTTTCCACCGGCCTATTTTTGGTATTTTCAGGCAGAATCTTCATGATTTTGACTCTTTCTGGCTTTTTCTAAATTGTCAGCAGCTCAAACTAAAACGCGTCATGGACAGCTGAAAGACACCTCTTTTGTAGAACACGATCTGAAAGGAGTATTGAAGTGTTTAGGGGTAGAAATTTGGACCCATCCCTCCCTCCCACAGACCGTGACAGACAGGCTTTGTACCCGTCATAGACCGTAACAGACAAGCTTTGGGCCCCTCACAGACCGTGACAGACAGGCTTTGGACCTGGCACAGATCGTGATAGACAGGTCGCTGGAGGGTGTGTATGTGGGGTGTGGGTGAAATAAATTAAAGAAATTACACCCACATACCACACTCACACCCACCCCCTAGATGTCAAATATAATTCATTGAGGAAACGAAGTCGATTTGAATTTCAGAATAGCCTTTGGTCAGTTTTAGATGTGTGAGATGAGTAAAATAGGATGATTCTGGTAATATGAGGTGTATGTGTGAGCGTGATGACGAGAAGATTCACCAACACCATCCTATACTAGATACTCATTGTAATTTCTTTTAAATTGAAATTGCGAAGAAGAAAGTCTATATATTAAGCAAATAAAAGAATAATGACACTCGTCTCATCCGTTGTGTCAATCCATATAAATACTCAAAAATATTGTTAAAGACGACATATCTATTATTTTGTGGTAGAAGAAACATTGAATCATGGTCAAGGTGAAAAACAATATGAGTTATAAGTTCAAAAAGAAAATAAATCTTGGGCAAGTAAACTACCAATAATTGAATCAATATTCTTCATTTAGAGAAGAGAACAATCAAAACAAGAAAATAAGTGTTTGACTTGTTTTAATGATTTGTCGTTATTTAACTCCAGCATATGTAATCGAAGCTTTTCACAATTATGATGAACGAATATTTTCTTGTATATCTGAATATCGACATAATATGAATTTGGCTAAATGTTCTTATACAGATCTATTATATTTTTTGAAATTATTCATTAATGAATAATTTCGACCATCAAAATTGCTTATTAGCAATTCGAATACTTTAACACAAATTCAAATTGTTATCGATGAATTAGATTTATCTTTAAAAGTCAATTTTGATTTTGTCCATCATTTATCATTACTTGAATGTACTAATGATGATGATGATTTAGAAGAGATCAATTCATTACAATCATTGACTATTACCCTAAACGAACGTTGACCAATAGCATTTAGATCACGATTGGATAATTCATGCAAACATGTATATACGATTCCATGGTCATTTGAAAAACTAAAAATATCAATGTTGTCCAATAATGATATAACGAGCGTATGTCCGAACGTGCGACAATTGACAATCGGTATATATGCTCTTCGCCGAAACATACTTTGATTGTTCTATGAAGTTGAACAATAATATATTGATATTCTGATAGATTTTATAACGATGAACAATATGATTTCAATAATAAACATCAACTAGGTCGATATATTATTCGACTAGATAGTGTAAAGTACGAATAAATTGTTCAAAAAGTCGCCAATGACGGGGATTTTAATAGTTCTTTACCACTATTACTTGTTGAACTTAAAAAGAAGAAAATAAGAAAAAATTTATTTAACTACTGCGATAGAATTTAATCGTCGTTTAACAGTTGCATCATTTCTTGATATTCTGAAGATAATATAACGGAATTAGTCGTATAGAATTATTCCAAAACAAAAAATCAATCTTATGCTCGTAATATAACTCGAGCATTTTATTTGAATTTTTTTTTTCCTTTTAATACTCGTGCTGTTACAAGGTACCGATGGTTGAATTGATGATGATGTTATTGCTAAAACAAAAAAAAAACAAGCAAAATTAAACATTATCTCCAGTAACTCAACAATTAAAAGGAAATACAAACTTAAAATTCCCATCATTAGAAAGATCGAATATGAAATCTAAGAATGAATGGTAAAAATTATATTTGACAATAATATCTTCGATTATTATTAAGTTTTACGATAAGTTTATAAGAAAATCGACCAAATAAAGACTGTGCTTTTATTTGGTATCCTTTCAATAATTGCCATTAAGATCAATCAAATGGATAACTATAGATTTGTAATATAACATAACTGATAGAGCAAAAACAAAATGAGAATAGTGATTCTTACCATTAGGTCTAATCTTATCTTTTAAAGTTGCGTCATTGTCAGGTATTTTTGTATGAAGACATATGTATATGATCAGACAATCGTTTCGAAATTCTCATTCTGTACTTTTTTTTGCTCGTTCAACTTTGTATGCTTAACTGTAAAAATATAGTTTGTATCAGAGACCGAAATGAATAAGAAAATCTTGATTCATATTGAAAAGAAAAAGAATTTCTTCATTGTCATGAATAAAATGTATCTACATCCTGCATAAAATTTTACTTAAGTTTTTGTTTATCTATATGCTAAATTGATTGATTTAAAGAAATTCAAAAGTTTCAAAGCGGAGCTACAGTATACAGTGGGACTTGGATTTTTTAAAAAGAAATATTCTTATCTTATTCATCTGTGAAGGTAGAATTTTCTGAATTTGTTTATTTTCAGTCGAAGTCTATCTCAAATGACAGATCTTCACTGCAGTTAGAAATCTCTAAACTTGACTAATTCAATTCTACAACTATTGACTCAGAAAATCACGATATTTTATTTCCAAAGTCAATTAGCAAATCAGGATATATTACAAAATAATAAATCGTCAAATCTACAATTACTTATAAGTTTACTACTGTTCATGTAATCGAAGAAGCAAATATTAGTAGACCTAAAGTTTGTGGAAAGAGGAGTAGTCATGAAAATAACTGCACATGGATCTACTACCATCAAAATTATCTATCTTAAAATAAATCAATATAGATGTTGACTTTTTTAAATAAAATACAAGTAATAGTTGATCTAGTAGATTTCTCCATACAAAGAGATCGATATAGTTTGTAAAAGCACAAGATAAAGAGAACATTAAAGTGAATTTTATTTGCTCATATTGGAGACTTGATGAAGAGATTGATGTTGAATCGAATACAGAGAATGATTTCGATACATGCACATGTTAATATTGAAGAGGAGGTAAAGAATCAAGAGAGCATCTCTTTTCTTTTTTTTTGTCCTCGACTTTCTTTTTCTCATTAAAAGTGTAATAAATAAAATTACTTCGATATATGCATGGTCTCTTTTTGAAGGCTACACCATGTTATAGACAAGGTTGTATGTTATCATTTTTTCTCTTCATAGATTTTGCCATCAAATAATTATCAAATAGTATATGTTGATATCTAATGACGTAATCAATCAATTTATTTTTATCTCATCAAAAAAAAAATTTATCATATGAAGAAAAAAAAACCTAACAAAAATGTACATATCATAATATAATCTCTGGATAATAGTGACATAGAGGATTTCCAGAAGATGGGTTACATCCATCTGGTTGATAGTGATACGTAGTTTTAGGATCTGTAAATAATGGTTTTGTTTGTGCTTTACATAAATAACCTTTTATGCCATTAGCACAAACATATTCATTTCGATGCATATAACCAAAATATCTGAGACGTACAAGTTGATTTCGTGAAATTAATTGAGTAAGAATCAAAGTATGAATAGGTGCATCACCCCATCGATAACGATAAATACCACCATTATGATCAACTTTATGAAGCCAAGCTTGTATTAATGAATGATCACGAAAAAGAGAAACATTAGCTATAGCAAAATTTGTATAAATAATCGCAAATGAATAACTATTGAACCAACTAGTTTGTGTTTCACGAAAATTTATTGAAGGTTTTAAACAATATTCTTTGAGAAATTCATGAAAAAATGACCATAAACCATGAGTATGTAATTCATCGTCTATATTAGCCATTGTAAATGCATATTGAATATTTCGTTTTTTCATAATATCAAATGGATCTTTAATAGGTTTTTGTCCCAATATATAGGAATGTGTATCAAGTCGCCAATAAAATGTAAATAATGTTAATAAAGGATGACTTGGAAGCATCAGAGTAAAAAATCGACACATATGAAAATACTTAGGTGACCATCGACGATGAGCACGTCCAGGCTGAATTGGACTATTAGAAAATTTGATACGTTCAAAAGTTAATGGAGTATGATTACCTAATGTTTGAGCTAGAGATTGTTGAATATTATTATCACTAAGATCACCTTCATGAAAAATGGCAATAGGTCGTGGATTATTTGATAGCAAATGAGATAATTGAGCAAGTGATGTCTGAAGTGATTTAAACTCACCGTATGGAGCCAGATAGACAATAACACCGAGATATGATTTTGGAGCAACATTTAACCAATTGACACGCCATTCAGTTGGATTATTTTGTCTTTTATATACTGTTCTCCAATGATACCATTGACCAGTGATACTATTTTGATATTCCCATTCATCTTGACGATCAACTATTTCATTATCAGGATTTTTAGGCAAACATTTCGATTGTAGTGAATCGTTCAAGTTTGATTTAGTAATAAAAAAGCTACATCCAATGATAAAATAGAAAATGATACATAAACAGCAATATCGATTTCTCTTATTGTGTCGTATACGTGTCATTTCCTCTATTGCAAGGATGATAACGTGCTGAGTAGCTACAACGACCAAATGTTTGTTCGTTCGTTAGTATGTTTGCTTCACAGAACGAAAGAAAGTATATACATATATTATATATATCAGGTATGTGAATCTTCCGTTTTTTTTAGCCTCCTTTAAAAAAAAAAGGAGATTGACATGCCAGATACATACAGAACGAAAGAAAGTATATGAATGAATTTCAACTTTTTTGGTGTGATTGGCATGAAGAAATGAAAGTTGGTCTAAACAATTTTTGAGCAGTATATTTTATTATACTCGATGCCTGTGTTAAGGAGCAAAATTTTCTCAATACTTCACTGATTATTAAGAAAAATACACGTTATACATTTTAATTTCTGTTTAATTCAATAACAAAACTGGCTTTACTCATTGAAAAGTTCGAGTCATTTTTCCAGCTCTGTATGAAGAATAGGAAGTCGAAAGAAGATCAAAATATACTTGAATTTGCTTGGCGTATCCTATTCATTTAAATTATACTCGAAAAGAATATTTTCGAATGAGTTCAAATGCTATACAAACTGGACTATTTACTTTTCTTATAGTCAAAAAACTTCCTTGTCTTTGTACATGTCACCCAAAAATGACATTTTTCTGTAATATGTCTCTTATAAGTCAGCGATCATATGAGCTAGACAGCTGAAATTTGATGTGGATGTGGAAGACACTCAAAGCGGAATAACATAGAAAAAAAAATTGACCAACGGAAACAAAAATTATTATCCAAATAGAGCTAAAATCTCAACCGTACCAAAAAGTTGCAACTCACTCATATATATATATTTATATAAAATTTTCAACTGATCAAATAACGACACTCAAAGAATTAAGTGGGGCTCATTTTAATAGCGCAGTAATTATTTGCATAATAAGAAAATCAATGATAAACATAAAAAATGAATGCTACTGGATAGTTTTAATCTTATGCGAATATTTTTCTTGATCTCTCCTCTTTTCATGTGTTAGAGTAGTTCTTTGGGACATGTTTCTGTTCAATAAATAATTTTTTATTCATGATTGAATACAAAAAACATTGTTCGAATTCGATAAAGTGCTTTTTTTTGTGTTTTTACTATAATCATGAATTAACAGTAACAAAATGAGTCTTACCATGTTATAAAACTTAGTAAGAATTCAGACAATTATTTCTTCATAAAATACTAGCATCACATATTAGTCTGTGTAAATTAGTATTAGTGTGTCTGTGATCATGACACGAGTGTGGGTCTTCACCTACATCGACGCTCTCTTCATTTATACGAATGCCAACTCATGAACTCATCAATTCTACGTATTATGTGCATCGTCTTTGTATTTAAGTAGGATTATTCTTAGAAATAATTGATTAATGATCAAAATACGTAGACTATTATTTTCTTCGAGAGCAATTGCAAGTACATCGCTTGGTTTATCATTGTCATTTAATTTAATCCAAATTGCTGTCAGATAATTATATGAAATCAATGAATAACAACGTTGTCGAAAGGCTTCTACAATACGACGATCAACTGAACATAAATACAAATATTAATTGTTTTATTAAATGGATAACAAAAGATCTTACATAAGTACTGAAGAATTCATATACATAATTAGTATAACAATACAATATACTTTTTAGTGTCATATCGAAAACAGAAAGCGTATTGTAGCTGTAACAGTACTTTGCTTTTATGTAGAGTAAAAATCGCTGAAAATACATTGTTTAAGAGCAACTATGAAACTGTTCTTTTGACAAAGATACAGTCATTTTTGTTGTCTAAAAGTATTGTAAAACTCGACAGAAAACACGATTACCATGTCTTTATGGATTCCTTGAAAACTTAAATAAATCCAAATATATGAGACATAGAAGATATAGCAATTTATCTGTAATATCTCTATATATCTCCTATGTAATAAGAGATACTAGTATACATATGCTAATTCTTTCGATACTTGATAAGCGGCATATATTAGTTGACATACGCATAGTTATTACATGTATTTTCGTGACACCTTCAGCTTGTGCAATGTCTTTTGTATGCATATGTACATATATCTTTATATTGATCATATACATAAAGGATTAAATTATCTAATTTAGGGCATGTTGAAGATCAAGAGATCTATATTTCCAATATCTCTTATATCTCATACATCTTTTCTTGAGGCTATAGGAGAGTATAAAGAGAAGACTTATACTCATACCATAAAGGATGGGAAAATATTATCGGACCAACGTGTCTTCAGATTCACCGACAACCAGAGTTAGTCAAATCAATACGATTTGACGGTACTTTTTCAACAGCTCTACGATGTGTTCTATTCTCTACGTTCGTATTTCCTATTTTTGCATGGTTGTTCGCACTCTACCTACTGTTCCTCAATTGCCAATGGTCTGTGCTATGTTTCTGGAACGTTCTCAGAGGAAAGATTGGGGAATTGATCCTCGAAAAGATTTAAATAGCCGGAAGGAGTATGGATGGAACAGCTTTCGCAAGCCGAATATAATCTCTTTTCTGTATAAATCTCCTCCGAAACTGTCAACTCCTTCCTTCAAAAAACAAAAATTCCTGTATACGTCCGTACCATACTTATTAGTAAAAATACTTTAAAACGCTAACTAAATGACTCAATAGAGATCTATTACTAGAATAGTCATTGTTAAATGCGTACAGAACTTGATGGCTAGTAGATGACTCAAGTATTCGATATCGATGAAGATCAAAACGATTTGTTCTGCATGTTGATGCGTTTGCAATAGCTACAAGATGGACAGCATTGCAAGACACCGAGGATGCAGTTGTATCACTCGATGAGAAAGAATTTCCATGTGTTAGAGAATATATTCTGAAAATCTCTAGTAGTCTGATTTTTTTAAAATTTTCTTTCTCTCATATTTATCACTCTCTTATTATTTTGTGGATAATCTGATCTCCATGTATGCTAGCTATATGTCCTTTTAAGACCGACAGAGTCATAGAGTTAAATAATGCAATAAAAAAATTTTTTTAAATTTTTTGTTCACGAGATATGTTTTTCTTTTCTGTCTAATACGTATATGTTTTTTAACGAGCGATCCAATAGTTGAATCTCGTCACATTCTATCAGAAAACCTCTTGAATCTGCAGCAATCCGATGATTTTCCTTTTAGTGTAATCCTTTAAGATTTAACTAGTGAAATAACTGTATTAATGAAAAGAGGAGGATGAGAAAAAGCTATTTTGATTTGTACGTCCTTTATAGGCAATTTGATATTAAATGCATCATTTCAATATTATTCACGTCATGCTATATCTGTTAAAAATTATCCTTATGATGCAGTTTTCGAGTAGTATTTATCCGCATGAAAAAATATTTTTATGTTAAATATCAATATGATCAAGGAAAATGAACATTTGAATATTGTCAATATTTTGAAAAACCAGATTATAGTGTTTTATAAAATTGGAAATTTTGGATGAGTTTAAAATTAATTTCATAATTTTATTTGCTTCTATTTTAAAAAGAAAAATCAAACGATAGAAATCAATAAGTTAATGAAAAGAAATAGAAATTTTCTTTCAATACTGAATAAGAGATATATGAATATAATCATAAAATGAATTCGATCAAGATGATTGCCATAATACTCAAGAAAAATTGAATGAGAGATTTTTTCAATATTAACTAATAAAAATATGATAATTTGCATCTATATAGAAAAAAAAAAGATGTCAATATATAAGATTAAATGATATTTCAAATAATGAAATCGAACTTTTTAATTAATTAGTTTCTTAATGATCAAATACGAAATAAAATTTATTAATTAAGTAGATATTTTTTTTCTGTTAATTATTAACAATGACAAAGCATATATTCGTTTTGACGTAGAAAAAAGCTTCGTCATACAAATAAAGTACGTCAGTTACCTGAATGACAAGAGAATGTTGAGATATGTACTAAAACAATAGAGATGAAGGCTATATAAAGAAATGTTTACATACAGTTGACAATACAATAGAAAATAAAATCATTTGTATACTTAAGAAAAAAAAATTCAATATAAAAATGCATTTTGATGAACGTCCATCTTGTTTTCATAATTTTGCTCATGAAATACTCTACGTAAGTGTTATTTCTTGTGCTCAATTACTTACTCAAGCAGCATTAGGAAATGTACTCGTTCCACTTCATATCATTGGTCCTTCTATTGGTATTGAAGATCCTGCTAAATTACCATGGACATTAGCTGCCTATTCTTTGACCGTTGGTATTTTTATATTAGTCACAGGACGATTGGGTGATATTTTCGGGCATAGATTACTTCTAATAATTGGATTTATGATATTTTCAATTTTTAGTCTTTTAGTTGGAATGTCTGTATATGTAAAGAATGATATCTATTTTGATGTAATGCGAGCATGTCAAGGAATAGGTCCAGCTACACTTTTACCTAATGCAATTGCATTACTTGCCAGAACATATCCGACTGGAATGAGAAAATCATTTGTTTTTTCAATGTTTGGAGCAACAGCACCTACTGGCTTTATTCTAGGTGCTTTATTTGGAAGTATATTTGCTCAATTATCATGGTGGCCTTGGGCACAATGGATATTAGCTATTTTTTGTACTTTTCTTGCTATTTTAGCTTATTTTATTATTCCTCAAGAATTATCATCAGCTGTTCATCCAACAGGAAAAACTGATATACTTGGTACAATTATTGGACTATCAGGTCTTGTTCTTTTTATATATTGCTGGAATGAAGGACCAGTTACTGGATGGGATAAACTATATGTTTATATTTTATTAATTGTCAGTATTTTAATAATATGTTTATTTATTATTGTTGAAATGTAAACGAAAGAACCAATTATGCCATTATCCATTTGGTCAGTAAAAGGTTTTCCAGGTGTTCTTACATCTATGGCTTTAGGTTGGTCAAGTTTTGGTATATTTGTTTATTATATTGTTCAATTTTTGCAAGTAATTCGTGGTGCATCACCATTGTTAACAACAGCCATGATGTCACCTGTCATCATTTCTGGTCTTATAGCAACAATTTCAGTTTCTCAACTTTATGATCGTTTACCTGCTCATTTTCTTCTCATGGAGCTATGATTTTCTTTTGTCTTATTAATACTCTTATTGCAACAGCATCTGCTGATCAAACATATTGGGCACAAATATTTATATCTACATTGATAGCTCCATTTGCAATGGATGTTAGTTTTCCTTCTGCATCACTTATTGTTAGTAATACAATGCCAATAAATCAACAAGGTGTAGCAGCAAGTATGGTTAATACAGTTATTAATTGGTCAATATCTCTTGGTTTGGGTATTGCAGGAACAGTTGAAAGTCAATTATTAAAACAGGGAAAAACTGTATTAGAAGGTTATCGAGGTGGATTATATGTTGGAATTGGACTCAGTGGTGCAGGTGTTATTGTAGCACTTTTATTCTGTCGTGTATCATCACTACCATCTACGTCCACTAAACAAAAAGAACGATCAGACTTTGGCGTTGTATCAGTAACAGCAGCATCAGACACAATTATCAATACAAATATGATACAAAGTGAAGGACTGGAAGGAAAATTTCCGATAATATGCCGTTTTTAAAGACAATATTGCTGTACAGTATTATTGATATAAAATATCAAGATAATAGAAAGTTGAGAGTAAATGTTTTTGTATTGATTCATATAATTATATTATATGAAAAATAAATATAATTTGATTATGAACAAATTTTTCAAAATTCAATGTGATTGAATAATTCTGTGAGAATTTTGTCATAATTCTCGAGAAAACTATTTACATATAGAAGTAAACTTATGAAATTTGATGTATTCTGTTGATTGATAACTTTTTTAATAAAAAAAAGCATATGAATTTAAAACAAAAATGACAGAATATTGAACATTTCTATTTGGAATATATTCGAGCGGTCAAAATATACACTTTAAAGTAACTTCATATCCATTTTCTATATGAAAGTAATGATGACTACAGAAAAAGTTAGTTTCTATACCATCATACAAAACAGTATTACCGATCTAAAACAGTTAGATCCGATCAAATAGGTCAGTAGATTGACATGAGTCATATTTCACTCTGATCTTGTTGTAAGATTCAATCTAACTTCTTGATTAATCATACCTACATCTGAGACACTACAGAATTACATAATGCTTCTGTTTGACTACTGTCACTATGTGTTGAAGTATATGGAGAAATATTTTCATGAAGATTCAAAAAAAAAAGAAAATAAAGATCAACATGAAAAACTTAAAGAATGTAATAGATCAGTAAAAAGATTTGTGATTAAACCTATTACTTTACCATCATTTATAAAATGAAATTTACATCGATAACTGATGACAAAAGTTGAAAAAGTTACTTATCAAGTTTAATATGCTTTACAAAAATTATTTAATCAATCAATAGAACGTCCAGACAAGAATGGTGTTCAAATATCATGAGTTTCAATTGTTAATATAATGTAATATATCTCCAAAAACACGTTTAAACTACATAAAAACATTTGTTTGTATAACATGTCTCCCTCGTTTAAATGGATAAAGTTTAAACATATGCGATTGTTTAAACACAGTTTTTGGTACATATCAAATAGTTTTAACAGTTTAAATGAGTGTGTGTCCTCTATTTACGCACAACTACACCAACACCCGCAAACATATCCGCAACCATATCTACGCCTCCATGCTAACATACTCTTACAAACATCTGAACTCATTAATATACACCCACTCTTCCTGATATTTCTACTATATCGCCACGAACATTAATTAGTCTATGGCTTATATAATTAATATAATAAAGCAAGCAGAAAACTGAAATGCATATAATAAGAATCGATTACTTTGCTTTTATTAGTTAATATAATAGAAGACTTATTCCTTATATTTTTGTTAATTTAATGTAATTTTTATTTATAAACACTTGTACAAGTGAATTTTCTCATATTTTGCAAAACACGATATAAAAATTGTGTTGAACCTTAGGGGTAGAAATCTGCCTTCCTCACACATCGTGAGCATTTCTGGGGAGATTAAGTGAAAAGATGATGTAGAAATATGCCTCAAAATAGATATAATAAAATACTCTTCTTGTAGTTAGCAACAGCAAAAATATCATATTTCATATTTTAATCTTACAGGGATTACGTTAGCAGGTTCTTTTATACACGACTAAGTCGTAACTATCGATACATTATTCATGCTTACGCTTCACTAGTATAGTTAACAAATATTACTCATCAATATAAAATTTCTATATGCAATTTCGAAACATTATGTAAGTCAATATATAGTATAAAAAGCAATATCATTATAATCGAAAGAAACAAAATTAGAAAAGAAATGTCATTAGTTACACAAAATACGAATACAACATCGGTAATCATATCACCTGACCGTGAAGCGCACTTAGTTTAATGACAAAATTAAAATTAGATCGATTCAAATTACGTAAAAAGAAATTTGATGAAGAATATATTGAAATTATGGAACAGAATAATAATTCTACAATATCATTGTATGATAAAGTTTATATGTTGAAGAAAAGTATAGAAAGATTGTTTGATGAAGCTAGTAAAGAACAATATTTAAAAAATTTCGATGCATTATTGACTATAGCCAAAATTAATACATCGACATTGAATAATGTATTGGAAAATTTTCATCAACAATTTACAAAAGTAATTGTTGAAAAATGAATATATATCAGTAGAAATAAAATCAACTAGTAAAAGTTTATTAACTAATGAACAATTAGAAAAAATTATTTTTAATCGACCACAATTAGATTTAGATCAATGGCGTAATTTTCTCCAAAATAAACTTTTTTCTTTCATTGATAAAGATTCAAAATTAAAAGATGCTTTTAAAAAATTTCAAAATTCAACAGAACAATATAGAAAATTATTATTGAAAGAAAAAATTTCATTGAATGATACACAACAAGCTATTGAAAGTCTTTTAAATAATAATTCATTAGATGAATATCGAAAAAGACTTCGAATAAAAATGCAATTAGATGAAAATACTATTAATGAATTTGCATCATCATTAAATTTAATAATATCTAATTTAACTGATTGGAATTGACCTATTAAAGGTGCACGTGGAATTTTTCGTCGAAATTTAATTGGAAAATATCGATGTTTCTATGACGAAGATTTTCTTACTGCTATTTTTCTTGAACATCTAGGCTTAAAATGGAGTTAGCATTTTAAATGTCAATTAAAAATATTTTTCAAAATATTAAATAAAAAACTTCGAGGTAGTTGTTCATCAAAATCAATTCAATATAAACGATGTTTAATGCAAGAAGACGAATATTGGATTGCTTTACTATCAAGTGAATTAAATTATAATTCATATACATTTAATTACGAAAACAGGAATAAATTTGATTTAAAATCAAAATTATTCTACTTAATCAATGTAGAAATTCAATTACATAAAATCTTACAACCAAACATACCATTTACTGTTGTATCAGCTGATCTTGAATGGTTTGGACCATCGATTTCACATGAAATAATTCATATATTTCTTGAATTTTGTGGAATATCTCAAATTTGGCTTGACTTTTTTGATCGTTTTCTTAAACAACCAATTTATTATAAATCCAATGAAAATATTTGTCAACGTCAACGTGGTGTACCAATTTCACATTCACTCTCTTGTCTATTTGCTGAATTACTTCTATTCGGTTTAGATCTTTATATATATCAAAATACTGATATATTTATTTATCGTCTTCATGATGATATGTGGTTTTTTAATTCTCAATCAACTAAAATTGAACAAGCTTGGACATTAATGAATGAATATATACAAATGATTGGGCTAAAATTTAATGAAGATAAATGTGGTTCTACACAAATTCTATCATCAAACATAAGAAGTCATATTAATGAATTATCAACAAATATAATATTACCTCAAAAAGATGTTAAATGGGGTTTACTTACTTTACAATCCTCTGGTCGTTTTATTATTCATCAAGAAACAATTCGTTCACTGCTTGATGAAATGAAAATACGATTAACAAATGCAACAACTATTTTAGAATGGATAAATTTATATAATAACTATATAGATTTTTTCATGCGTAATTTTGGTCAATGTGCTAATATTTTAGGTACATATCATATTGAACATTTCAATATCTTCATCGATATATATTTCCTGAAACAAATGGAAATGCTTTAATAATTCTTACAAATCGTATTGTTCAACAATTTTCTAATAATTATTTGACAGATGAAATTTGTGAAGCTTGATTCTATTGGCCATTAACACAAGGTGGATTGGTTTTGAATAATATCTATCTTACTCTATATAGTATTCAACAATATTTGCTATTGAAAAAGATAATCACTTTCGATCAGTTAGCAGCTGAAGATGCTGAACGATATGCTGATATAGAAGTCAAATATAGACAAGCAAAAAAAATATCGAGAATTTAAATTCATTGAAGAATTTATTCACGATGATGAAACACTCATCACTTTTGATGAATATATAAAACGTTGTGAAATTCATCTTTCACATTGGAAAAGTGTTTATATAAATACGTTAACTATTACACCAGTATTATCACCTATTTTAACAAACAATTTTGCAGATCATATGAAAATCTTTCGAGATATAATTACACAAATATCATTGAAAAACCAGCATAGAGTGAATAACGATAGTGATAATTACTTGGAATGGTTACTCTTTTATTATGGTGAACAAATTCAATCAACTTTTAATCAATTAGATTTTATTGATAGTGAAAATTACCTATTGGTTTAATAACATTGATGAAAACAACAAAAATTGATTGGAATAATGAAGCTAAAGAAGAAGAATAGTATGAAAATATTCTTATGATTGAATTGAACTTTGTATGAAATTTTATTAAGAAAATATTGGTTTTCTTTGTTTTTGTATAAATGAATTTAGAAAATAAATTTAATTTACAGCTCAACAAAAAAAAATATAATTTGTTTTGATCGAAAAGTTATGAAAGTTTTTCAATGATTATCTAAATTGTTAATATCTTCTACAGATAATCAACAATGAAAGAAAGACGACTTAGAATAAAAAATATAAGAATAGAAAATAAATTCAACAATTTCATGATTATTTAAGAATTTGTAAGAAACTCAGAAGTAAACGTAGTGTAAATATTCTCAAGGTTAGAATCAAGCAGAATATCCAATATTTTCTATTGAAGGAGATTCGAGCATACATTTTGAAAGTGACAAGTTCAAGTCGTATATGAATAAAATAAATTCCAATTAGCATAAGAATCTGTAACGACAATATGAGAATACCATAATAAAAATCAAAATGTCATCTAAAATGAACGAAATTCGCCCAAGATATTATTCAAATTTTTATTTATATCGATAGCATACAATAATTTTAATCCCAAACTGTCATATTTTTTACTTACCAAAATGAAGAAATACGCCGGCAGAACTTGTATGAGGACAAACAGCATACAAGCCATTCTGTTCTTATTGTTTGTCATCTTTATCCATTTGCTTCGATGGTATTATTCAAGAAAAGTGATATATGCCAATATGTACGGTAATTGATAGTGGATCTTTTGATACAAAAAAACCTATCAGATAAATAGCACTAGTTAACAAGGAATCAATTACCGTCGAAACTTTTACGAGACATCCGATAGTAGTAGTTAAATTAAATTAAATCAAACCATGTAGCACATAGTTTCGTATGATTGACTAGTCTAACGCTAATGGAGATTGCAAGTTATCAATATTGACTAAATCATACTACTAGGAAATTTCAACAAAGAACAACTTCGAGAAACTTGTAAGCATTGCAATCACATATCAAACATATCTATCTTTGTTCGTTTTTTTCCAGGAGCATTTCATGATAATTAGCTGACACTAGTTTAATTTGCGGGTTTCTACAATTTTTTGTGCATCAATAAATTTCATGTGTGTTTTCTAATTCAAATGTTTTATTAAAATAAATAAATGAAAAAGTATTGATAAATATTACAAAAGAAGAATGATTAAAATGAAGTTAATGTTATTTTAAACAATGTTAATATTCTAATCACTTCGTACATCGACAAGTTTTCCATCCAAAGAAGATAAAGAATGGTACACAAACTCCACTTAAAAAGCCACATTGTTGGCAATCTAAGATGCATGCAGACAGTCCTAGAAGATTGCATTTACCACTTGGTGGACTACACACAGAGGAAAATGGCAATGCATGAATAGCTAGAGAAATCAAATAGATAAAAATGATTCAACAATATCGAAATATCTTTTAGTCTATTATACATACTACGCATTTGTAATACTAAAGCAGATATAAGTAAGACGACAATTAGAATACGAGTCATGTTAAAGATTTTTGTTTTTGATATTTATTACTATGTTGAATACAAAATACATTCATATTTATACTCCTAAAGCTGGAAAGTGGACTTACGCATATGTATTAAATGACGATTTCTAATAAACATGACATCATACACTTATCATGTATCTTTTGTCATGCCTTCTTATGATAGAATTAGTACGAATTGCGATAGTGTAGAATGGATGAGTAATTCTGTGTGATAAATCATATCTTTCGCATTTTACTTCCTCTTAATAAAAACAAACAGCAATGCATCTCGCTTAATAGCTATTTTTGATTTTATTCCTTGAAAACTCGATGAAACGCTAAAAAGTACTACTAAAATGATTGACGACGTTGATAATCTTTCACAGAGATTTGAATAGAAAGATTTAGATGTGTTCCATGGTCGCTTCATAAAAAGTTTATTGATGTTTCATAGACAAGTACGGAAGTACAACAATGCAAAGCAACGTCAAAGTTCATTATCTACATAAGTTGAATAACGTTGTCATGAAATGACAAGTAATGAATATGGATGTAATCAATGGAAGATATGAAGATATTCAAGACTGGTAGTGCTCATGCTTTCATATATATGCGAAGATACAACAACACAATTCGTCATCACTAACGTGGTGACTATTCGATTTGTCGCCTTGTGCCAGTTAATAGACAAGTTGTATAGTAAACTCAGATAGACGGAGATTTCCTGTTCTCTACAATCAAATATTTGCCAGTGCTTCTCATCAATAATATTCAATACAGTAGACGTACCTCTGCTTAAAGACTCTGAAGTGAGAAAGTTTCAATCTAAAATATTAATAATATTTAAATTATAGCATGAAATTCTTTATTGATTGATGTACTATACTTGACACCTAGCAAATGGCAGGATATTTGATCTAGACGATTCCATGGAACTCACGGTAGTAGATAGATTTTTTCTTTTGGTAGATGTTTTGATCTACTCTTTTATTGTTGTACGAGTTTTTGACGTTTGATGAGTTCTTCTTTGAAATCATTTCTTCATTTTGGTGACGGAAGTCTTTTTTTTATGACTAGCAGCGTTCTGGAATTCTAATGGGTAAAATATTGAACGAATCTAATTCGATCTTTATAGTTATTTTTTGTATTATTTTTCATGATAGCTTCATATCAATGCATACGTGCAGTTCGGGCACATGTCTATGGACGAATAGTACGCTTTCATGAAGCAACGAGCGGACACATAACAATCTTTATATTGAAATCTATGTGAAAGATTTTCAACATCATCGATCGTCCTAACAGTACTGTTCAATATTTGTATTGAGTTTTCGAGAATCTGTCTTCAAATACTATCTGTCTGCTTTTATACATTTAAATGCAACCAAGATAATATAATAAAAAAAAGCACAGATATGAACTAAGCAATTGCTCTTTTTCATTCTTACGTATTGTATTTTCTGTTTACCAGAAATATTCATACATATTTTGCCTTCACTTGAATCTTCGATATTCTTTCTTTCAGTTACCTGTGTCGTTGCTTGTATTAGTATGACTGAGTCAAATCGAAAGAGAAAACCTTTCAGTAGGGACTTTTCGGCTTTCTACGGTAGATGCACTCATACATTTACAATAATGTCATGCTTAGACCTGAATAAAATCAAAAATAACTATTAAGCAAGATGCATTGCTCTATAATTATTAACAGAGAGAGCAAAACGAGTAAGGTATGACTCAACACACAAAATTACTCATCCATTCTACATACTCGAAATTCGTACTAATTTTATCATAAGAAGGCATGACAATAGATACATGATAAATGTGTTATATTATGACTATTAGAAATCGATCATGAACGTAAGAACGTCAATTATAGACTTTATTATTCGTCATTTAATGTGTACGTGCAAGATCATTTTTCAGCTTTTGGAGTATAGATACGAATGTATTTTGTATTTAATATAGTAACAAATATTAAAAATAAAAATCTTCAACATGAGTCATATGTTGATTGTTGTCTTACTTATATTCTCTTTAGCATTAGAAAAGCATAATATGCAAAAAATAAACTAAAAGATATTTCGATATTGTTGAATCTCATTTTCATCTATTTGATTTTTCTAATTATTCATGCATTTCCCTTTGTGTGTAGTCCACCGAGTGGCAAATGCAACCTTCTAGGACTGTCTACATGCATCGCGAATTATCAAACATGTAGCTTAACATCATCTAAAATAACATGAACTTTGTCTTAATCATTTTTCTTTTGTAATATTTAGTAATACTTTTTTTACTTGAGTTTTCTAAAGTTATTCTTTGTTCAAATTTTCTACTAGTATGATTTAGTCAATCATTCGAAATTATATACTACATTATTTGACTTAATTCAACTTAAATACTACTATCGAGTGTCTTGTAGAACTTTCAATGATGATTGTTTGCTTGTTAACTAGTACTATAGATCTCAAAGTTTTTTATCAAAAGACTCATCATTCATTGTTGTGCATGTTGACATATTCTACTTTGCTTGAAGAAATCGCTCTGGAACTCATTGAACAACACGTGGTCGATGTATAATTAATTATCATTAGACAAAAGCGAAGAAAGTTATGGTATTGTTACATGTCATTAACTTGTTAGACATGCGTTATTCAATTCAGCATAGTCAATGACTATATATGTGCTTTACTATGAATCAATTTTCTTGCAAAGCTTGATAATATCGACTGAAGTATTCAGCAATACTAAAAACGAACTTGGATGTAAAATTCAGGTGTAACTTATTCTTTACACTTTCGATGCAATATTTATCAAATATCAGAAAGAGCGCAAAATCGAAAAATTGTGACGCATCAGATGGAACGAGAGTTCAGAACACTGAAAAGTAAGACTTGTAGTAGGACTACTCAGGATTATCGTCGGTGAAGTGATGTTGTGTTCTTTTTTATTATTGAATTATCGTTTGAAAATTTGAATGAATGAGTATGGATGTAGATAACCAATGAAATGTGATTCATGCAAAAATTTGGAAATTTAACTATGTAATTCTATCTTAAAAATAGTTTTTTTGAATTTCGAATTACAAACAAGAAGTATTCATCTAAAATACACATATATTCTTTCATTCAATGTAATAATTTCAATAGGTTTCATGCGTAATCGATAGAACAATATCCTTACTATAGACATCAAATACTATGGTGTCAAGCCTCTCTGTAATGTAGAATTTTTTTAAATAGACTCAACAGATGTTGATTCTCCAAATGAAGGAAGTTATCGTTGGTCATGTTTTTCCTAGCAGTTTTCAACCTTTCGGAGAATTTGAAGTAAGATTTAGAAAAAAAACTCAGAGTCGGAGATTTGAAAATCGTTCTTTTTTGTGACGAAAATTAAAGAAAACGATCAATTGATCACTGAAATATAGCGCGCGACATCTTTCCTGTTTTCTTGTCCTTCGTTTCTGGTTAACAAAAAACGTTAAGTAATAAGTGTGTGCGTCATACAATATTTGATTTAATATTTCGCACAACATAAACCATGCAAGTGCGCGTGCATACAAAAAAAAACAAATACATTAGGATTTTTCATTTATTATTCTTCAACAATAGTAACATGCATTCTTTCTAATTAGAACAATAAATGTGAGTAAACGATTGGATTTTTTTTTGCACTTTAAAATCTTATTTCAATGAATATATTGTTAGGAAATTCGAAATAATTTTTATCATAAAAGACCACATTACATTCATTTGAAACGATTTTCTCAAAAAAATAAATCATGTTTTCCTACATTTTGAATATAACCATTGAGTAGATACCATGGTATAACATTTCTTGAAATAATCATAAGCTGTGAGCATTCTAACAGCAGTCTTCAATGGTGAACATTCATCGTTTAATTTGATAGCCAACGTCTGTCCAAAATGTAAAATTCTCAATAAAAATTATGTGTATAAATGAACTGAAACGAACGCCTTGAGTAATGATTAGTCAGACGCTTATTCTCCAACATTGAAAATGGATACTTTAATACAAGTTAGTTTTCTACATAGGGCATATGCGTATATTTTCTCAAGAAGATATGTAATATTTCTTGAATATCATCATAGAATTTTCTTTTAACAATCGATATTAACGCTATTTTTATTTTGTTTTGCAGATGGAAACTTCTTGTAATCAATCAACGTTGGAAATGCTTCCAGATGAGATGCTATTAGAAATTTGTAAATATTTATTATGTACTGATATTCTTCTATCTTTTACTGGTCTTAACAATCGAATAACACAAATGATCAGTGAATATCATTATCATATATCATTACATAAAACATCTATTTCAAAATGTGATTATTTATGTGTAAATATTCTTCCACAAATTGGTTTTCAAATTCGATCATTACTTATTGATTGTTGTTATTCTATTTTGCAAGATGATTTATTTATTAAATATTTTGATAAGAAAATGTCAATAATATTTCCTAAACTAGAACGAATAAGTCTTGTTTCCTATCAATATAATCAATTAATTACTTTTCTTAATACTCTATATGATTTAAATTATCTTGTTGAAATTCGTTTATATAGTCTTTTTCCAATTAATAAAATCAATCAAATAACAGTCGTTCGATCATTAATTCAAGCAAATAATCATCGAATTACAACAATATTAATCGATGATCAATCAAGTTCTTTACATTTTCATCAAGATGATTATTATTTGAATATTATTCGATTACGTATCAAATTAAGAACAATTGTAAATTTATCATGTCTCTTTCATGCTATTCCAAATATTCAATATTTAGATATAATACTTGATGAAAATGATAGTTTATCGGAATATTTTGATCAATTGATTTTATCTCCTCTTTTTTATCTTATTCATTTTCAACTTATATCTACTAAGCAGTCATGGACACTCGAAAAATTACGTCTATTATTTGATCAATTACCAATAGTAAGGTATCTATCACTTTTTCTTTCTACAGATGATAGACGTCTTATCGAAAGTGACACAATTCTTTCTTACCTTCCTTCGACTGTTCAACAATTTGACTATGCTATTTATTTTTATCATAATATATCTTTTGATGAAATTAATGAGATTATTACTTCTTGGCCAACATCTCATCCAATTACATGCTTCCACAAAGATACACTCTTATTTATTCATACGTTACCTTGGCGTTTTACTCGTATTTCATTTCCAACTTTTATCAATAAAATGATGTCATGCAAAACAAATAATATAACTGGTTATGAGAGTAGTGTTGAACAATTGGACGTTACGATCGATAAAAGTTTTACTTTAATCAAGTCTTTAGGAATGATATTACAATGTCGTCAAGTAAGAGATATTACTATTTACGTGAGAGATACTGGTGATACCGTTAAAGGTATGTACTTTGAACAAAGAAACTAATGATATACAAATGCCTATTAAAATCTGTCAAATCCATGCAGAAAGAAAAAAATCATCATTTGAGTCGATAGAATTTTGTGAAACTCTCATAGTAATGGAGGTCAATGGTCATTAGATACGTATCCATAGCAGCCGAAGACTATATAGACGTCAGACTCCTCTACTAAGGTGTCTTAGTAACGAAAAAAGGCGTTGAATCGTACTAGTTACAATACTTAGACTCCTCTAGAACATGTCAAAGTCTTCCTCGAAATTTGAATGGTTAGAATACATTTGTGTATGTTCTAAATAGTTCAATTTTTGATTCTTGTGCAAATAAAAATTTATATTGAAGATGTCAACAATGATGTGTCGTAATGCATTGATTTGCCATTATTGTTATATAATCAACACAAAAAAAAAGTTTGAACTGATCAAGTTCTAACTTTAGGAACTATTCAATATCAGTGTTTCTAAGCTTATCAAAATAAATAATAGAGTGTTGAGACCCGTTGTAGATATAATGGCAACAGAATAGAAAAACTAATGCGTCTCAATTATTGCCCATCGGTCCAAGAATCTCTGGATCCGATCGGATTCGGGTTCGGATAGGGCCTGACGGGCTCTAGTCTCAATTCTCTCTGTTTTATTACAACTTCAGCTATTCAAGAATTCTATGAATATTCACTGGAGGAGGGAGGGTAAACACTTTTCCTTGCCTAACTGACTTTTCATATTAGCGTCGCAGCGTGGAAGCGCTTCGCGATCCATGCGCGTCTCTGTGTACACAGTTATCGAAGTGTTTCATGTTTGAACTATATTAGCCACATCGTTTTCGGAGCTACTTGACCATGCAATCCATTCACTTTCAGATGCTACCTTGCTGTTATCACTCGAGCACTTCAGACGCTTCCTGTATCATTCCAGGTAATGGGTATAGCATCCCAAGTAATAGTTGTAGCATTCCAGGAAGTATTGAAAGTTGAAATCTCAGTTGAATTCAAGTTGCAAGTTTTACACTACGTTACAAATTGAAATCAATTCTCAATCTGAGACGTAAATATTATTCTTCTCAATGTATTTAACTATTTTCAGAAGAACAATGTCCAATATCTCATATTCCTAAATTATCTCGACTTATTCAAATTGCGTTTCATGGATCAATATCCTCTGATCTAAATCATTTTTCATTTCTTCTCAATGTTGCACCTAATATTTTTCGCTTGGATTTACCTTTTGATTATTTATGGCAATTGATTGAAAATGAACAAACACGTTATCTTCTTAGTCAACGTATTACTTCACTTTCTATCCTCGAAAATGTAACAAAACCATCATTAGTAACACTCAATGAAGAACATATACCTATCATTGCTTCTACATTCTTTCGATTGTGTGATTTGTATGTCAATCTAACACATTTATCACCTAGCACAACAGTAGTCTCAAACGACAATACTATTCTTCACAAATTTACAATACAAAGCTTATCCATTCCGTCAAATCAACAGACACACGAAGTTGTATCACCATATTCAAGTGAATCAATGATTGTATGTTTGTTGACAGAATTCAAAGAACATAAACTAGTTGGTCTATGCATCACTGGACAATTCTTTGAAAAGATAAATACAAATGCAAAACAATGGTTACAACATAATACCGTTCTTTGTGAACAACAATTTGAAGCTATTTTTAACAAGATGTTACATCGATTACTCATTTGGATGTGATAATATTTTGATTATATTTTTCAAAGAAATAAATCTTTGTAGATATTTTTTTTTACTTATAAATACCTATTTATAATTATAAAATTGTGATGATTTAAATAAATAAACATAGACATTTGGATTCTGAACTTTATTTTGGTCAGATTTTATGCAATAGATGTGTGTTGAGTTATTCTAGATATCCTAAAAAACTTAGTTCTATAGACCATTGACCCGCTAAGTTATTATTGAAAAAACTAGTGTTATTGATGTGACATAAAAAAGGGATAAAAGTTTTCATTTTGTGCATTTCCATTTACAAATACTGTAAATTTATAGAGAAGACTATAAAATCTCTACGCAAATGTTTTTCAAAAAACTGAATTTATTCGTTGTAAATGATCTGAGTGAACACAAGAAAAAAAAATAAAAAGCTCTTGTGTAACTTAATGAAAAGTTCAAAAATTATTTTTGAATGGTCAAAATCCTTATTGATAATCTCAAGACGATACTAAAACAAGAAGTCTCGTTCTAGAACATGAGCAGATCTTTGAAAAATCAATTTTTTTCTTGGAAAGCAATTACTTGAAGTCTGTTCGAGTTTAAAATTCAATGAATATTTTTTAACAATCAAAAATTACAGATACGTTCAACTTTATATCAATTAGTATCAACAAGAAATATTTATGCGAATATAACAAATGAAAATCTTTATTATGACTGTTTAGAAGACTTTGCTTCTTATATAAGAAGTTTAATAAATATATTCGATTTAAATTCTTCTTCGTCATCTTGAATTTACTACATCGACTGTAGACGGATCATTAATAGTCTATGAAGAAGCACTGGTTAAGCATGTTTAGGACTAATTTATTTAGTTTTATGATGCTATTTTCTTGCATAATATTATCTTGTTGAAGATGAAATTTCGCCAGAGTTCAGCAAGTGATTTGAATATCAAAGGATGAATTTCGTGATCCAGAAATTTTAAAAACGAATGTGAGTGTTGGTGTCGGTTAGGAGAAGAACCACATCTACATTCTTTCTTTATTTAATGATGATTCATTAGGATTTATTAATTGTGATGATATTTCAGCACATCCACAATGCATGTATGTACTGAGGACTATATGGGATTTATCTCAAAATGCATAGTGACTTATTGAAAAGTCCCGATAGCTACTGCAATAATGTATAAGATGAAATCAACCATTTTATAAAACATGCAAAAAAATGCACACAAACTCACCCCTCCCACAGACTGTGACAGAAGTTTCTGATGCGTCATTACTGATTATATATTACTAAGCTCTCATGAAAATATATAAACTGCTTTCTTTTTTGAGTTCTAGAGAATAAGTAAAAAGTTGATGAAAAATGAGTCCGCAGATAAATCGAATAAAACAATGTTTTGGTGATTAGTAACAACAACTATATTGTATTTCACATTTTTTTTTTACAAAAAATAAGAAAATTTGCTTAAAAATTCAGAAAAATCCATATTTTTTTGAGGGAGTAAATAAAGAATTTCATTTACTTAACACTAGAACATATGAAGATAATCATTCGAATTATATCTTAAACTATAGATCTGAAGTTTCTCTATCTAAATTACATATCAAAACCAAAATTTCATCAAAATGACAGACCATTTTCATACATTTTTTTTTAGAAATGATTAATATTAAAATAATTTCATCTTATACAATATTGAAAAAAAAGATCCTCTCCGGTATCGTCTCTTTCGACAAGTGAAAACTGCAGCTCCTTAGCTCTTTCTATTCGTGAATTATTTCAAAAATATCCGAGTCTACTAATTTTCTGGACAGACAATAGTTATCATTTCTTTTCAGAATAAACATAATTCTATCAGATTGAAACAAATGATAATAAATGACTACGGCTTAATTTTTCAATCAAAAGTCTTTTCATTTTTTTTTAATAGGTTTCAGTGCACACGTGTGAATATATAAATAAGCAGATACTAGAATCAGCAGTGCGTCATAACATGCAAATATATAATTAGTTTCAATATAAGAATAAATTGTATATTCAACTTTGTTGCTGAGGTGTTAATGAAAAATTCATGAAATCCTATGACAAAAAAAAAAAAAAAGAATGTAAATATGAAGGCTATTACTAGAAGTACTCTTACAATCAAAAATAGAGCACCAAGTACAAGCATTTTTGCCTTGACATCCATATTGATTGGAACTACACAATAATTAAGAATTAGTCAGTTACAAAAACAAAAAAAGAATTTCTCAACTATTGAAAAGAAAATTTAGTAATTGTAATTCAAAGTCTGACGAAATTGAAAAAATATTAGATAGAATTTTTATATACAACGACATTTCTTATTCATATAAAATGTGTTTTTTTTATACATCAATATACTCACCATGCATTGAAAAAACATCGGAACTTGTAAAAGCTTCTTTACAAAAGCCAGAATATTTTTTATAAATAGCTCCGATTTCTGTTGTTCGATCACTACCAAATAACTAAAACAATGAAAATTAAATTTTACTTCAGAAATATATTCAAAATATTACATACAGTAAATTTATTCTCACAACAACATGAATAAGGTCCATCACAAATACAACATGGACCAATAATATATAATATAGGTTGTTCACGAGCATCTTTAATCACATAATTCATTCGCCAACTACTACCTCTAAATGGAGAGACAAAAAAAAAATAATCTATGAATAAGATTTACTGAATAATAAAAAACAAAAATTACTCTTGTTTAATTATTCCAATAACATTGCCTGGTGGTGATTCGACAACAACTTCTTGCATACACGATGGACAACTACCACACCAACAACATCCCGAACAACATGTAAATTCACGACGTAGTTGAATTAATTCCTAAGTAAATTGAAAAATAAAAATCGATGAAAAATTTTCTTTTTCTTTTTTGACCAACCTGATTATTATTATCAAATATATGAAGAACAAATGCACGTGTATTTGTACACCACACACGTTGACAACAACTTGATTCTTTATTAAGAACATATATTGATACAATCAACCAAATAATCAGTTTTACCTTCCAGTGCAAGAAAAATTTGTTCACCTTTTTCATTAAAAATTCCATATTTTGCTTGCATTGCAATACCAGTCCATGCTAAGAGACAAAAAAAACAACTATGATGAGAGAAAAAAATTGTTCATATCGATTTACCTTCCATACAAGAAAACATATGTTTAACAACTAAACTATCAATTGTTTTCAAATATTCGATTCCAGAATTTGCATTATTGAATGTAGTAGACGAAAATGATGGTACATTGTGCGCTATATATGCTTCATTATTACGTTCCATTCGTATAAAATGATCTGAAAAACAAATAAAATTTTTACAACTGTTTTACCATGGTTACTGTTGATACTCTTCAATAAACAATAAAAAAAAAATCATAAATAATATCTTTGACGTCAATACTTTTCAACAATGAATTCTTTTTTTTTTGTTTCATGTTTTTACGATTAACCTTCATATTGTATTTCAAGACTACCTGAAGAATTAAAAAAAAGACTATTCATTATTTGATTTTGTCAGTCGACAGCCAATCCACACATATTTACTGAAATATTTTAAAAAAAATCAAGAACGAGAAGAGCCAAGAATAAATATATAATCCAGGAGTGCATAATGTAGTTAATAAGATCTGCCGGTTTATTTTTAGTGATAGTATCTGGCCTTTTTAACGACGAGGAAACAGAAAGAATGAGGACAGAATACGAAGAAATCTTTTCTTTTTTTTTTTTTTGTTCTCTATGTACACGGAACACATGACACGACAAAAGTTTTCATTGGTAGTTTTGTTGCAAACTAGTTGTTCGAGATTATTGAGCGACAGAATAAATCTTAGCATTGAAAATAATTCTCATCTTGTATGAAATTTTACACATGCATAGTCATATAGTATAAAATATTAAAATTGATTTTGAGACGATTAAAATAATCAAAGATATGTAATAGATAAAACACGATCGATTGTCAAATCTCATGTATGCAAATGTCAGCGTAAAAATAAAATGCTTTTCTTTTTCTAGAGAACTGTTCGTAATTGGTATTAAACATTGTCGACATCACTTTCGTTCTTTTTCATTTTGTCGTTTCTATTGAGCATTAGTTTTGTACAAAAGAAAAAGAACAATATATATATGACTCAGTAAATATATTTGAACTGGTAACGAAAGATTAAAAAGCAACGGAGATGTCACAAGGAAAAACATTGTTTTGCTTATCGTATCTATACGATAAATTCATCGAAATAAGTTTTCAAAAGTCGGAAACAAAACAGTAACTATTTACATCAAGATTGATAAAATAAGTCCATAGTTTCACGTAGTAAATCTCTTCGTTCACATATAAGTTTGAATATCAAGGGAAAATAATGCTCCTACGGTTATTTCTCGAGATTGAGTCTTTAACATTAGGAAAGATGTATAGATGTTTCTCAAGAGTACAGGCAGCGGTGTAACCAGGATTTTTAGGCCAGTGGGCAAGGTTTTTCTTGATAGGCCAAAACTTTTTTGACCCAACAAAGTACTAATAAAGTAAAAAAAAAAACATGCATAAGTTAGTGTTAGGGACCCTTCAAATACGTATCTGTGCAGCATACACAAATATTTTCCCGATGAACTATGTCATTTCATATCTTGGTTTTTTTCTTTATGTTTCCACATAGACGTCATTGGATTTTTCCTTTTTCTTCTGTGCATCATTCTATATGTATATATATATATATATATATGTCCATTAGTGAACTGCGGAGTCGCATTTTTTGATCCCGAAACCCGACCCGATTCCTAAACTTTTTTTTCTTCAATTCCGAAATCCGACCCGATTCCGAAAATATTGTTTTTGCGATTCCGATTCCAACTCCGACTCCGGTCAGAAATTTTTTCGTACCCCGACTCCGACTCCGAAAAACTCCGAAAATTTTTTGTGACTTAGGAGAGAATTTTTTTCAAATGCCCCCTTCGGATCTCAATGATTTTTTTGTCCATAGATATTACATTAAGTTCTAGTTAAAGTCCTAAAAAAAGATTTGGGTTCGTGTAGCTTCCTTCGTAGGTTATATGTATCTTTATTTTACTTCTACAAAACATAACCTATAACGTTCAAGAGATGGTTTGTCAGACCACTAATTAAGTCATATTTATTTCCATGTATGAAAGATTATATTAAGAAATTTATAAATTCGAAATATCAAATTATTTTGAAATATTTGTAAGAAGTATTAAGAAGCACAATCTTTGCTTTCCTCATGCTTATATCATGAAAATGTATTAAAAGCTGGTTTTTAAATATTAATGGCTATTTCGAAAATATTTTTCTCTAAGACCGTCTTATAAATCCAGAAAAGGTCTTAAAAGGGGCAGAATAGAATACTCTATAGAATGTGGTATACCAGTTTTCATAACAATGATTGTTAGTAGTTGATAGTACTTTCACAAAAAAAAAGGAGTGTATGCTTCGTAGTCATTCTTTTGCCTTTTTGTTCGTGACTTAGACGAGTAATGGCATCGCAAAAAACTGAATCAAGTTTCTATAAACCCTTGATACTGCACTTTTAAAAATTCTTTTCTGGATCATTGAGACGATATTAGATACAAAAATTTTCAAAATAACAATCGGTGTGTAAAAACAACTTTTTATTGTTTTCATAATCTAATGACAAAGGAAATCAAGGTTGTACTTCTTGGTGTTTTTTCACAAGCGCTTCGAAATAACTAGAAATAAATATTTTATGAGATCTGAATTAATTGGTGTTCTAGCGAACCATTTCTTGAACAGTATATGTTGTATCTTATCGAAGTAAAAGAAGTATACGTATAGCTTTTGAAGGAAGCGACGAGAATCCATATTTTTTCAGGGTTTTTACCAGGACATTACGTAACATTTGTAGACGAAAATTCATTGGAATCTGAAGGGTATCTGAAAAGGTTCTCTCGTTCAACAGTAACTTCAAAAAAAATTTCTTTCAATATTAAACAGGTGAACCCACCAGAGACAAGCTCGAAATTCGGAGTTCAGTTGAGTTTTTTTACTCCGACTCCGACTCCGAAATTTTTTTCGTCTTAATTCCGATTCCTACTCCGATTCCGAGAATTTCTGTTTTTTGATTCCGATTCCGACTCCGACTCCGGCGGAGTCGGAGTCGGAATCGGGTTTAGGACTCCGGTGCAGTTCACTAATGTCCATGTGTGTTCTCTTGATCTGTGCGCTTGTTTCTCTTCACTACCTTTACGTGGTTAGTGTTTTCCCAATAAAACCGAACCAATGTTCATCCAAATTTATAGTTAAAATCAGGATTGTCAGATCTTCTGATTTGTTGCCGAATTCCAAACGTTTTTAGATCGTGGTTTTACTAGCGAAATTTATTACGAGTGTAATCCATGAATATTATAAATCCGTATTCTGCTGTGAAAAATAATATAGAAATTATGTTCTATAACCTTTATTATTTTTCGTAAGCACAGTTTTGGTCGTCGTAAAAGAATCGGACACTAGGTGTCTTTTGCTAGCTATTCTTGTATTAACTAATAATTGAAGACCATGCAACGACAAATTAAGGATATTGCTCATAGTCGAATCAAATGAATGCTTTCACTTACAGACCAACTAGTTTAAAACATGAGCCGCTAATAGCGTACACAGACAGAGATGTTTAAATTTTAAGATATTTACAGTTTGTTATGTGCCCACACTGCGAAATTTCATCAATCTTTAGTTTTCTTTTTTCGTCATGGCTGGATGAAACACGACTATTTACATAAGGAGAAACAATATCAAACATATTCAAAAGCAATTTGACAGCAATTAAAATTTTTTGTTTATTACCCTCATAATTAAAAAAAAATGTTGTCTTAGACTTCATAGAATTTGCTTTTTCTTATCTAAATAGATCTGCTCTATCAAACCATGACGAAAAAAGAAAACTAAGCATTGATGAAAATTTGTAGTGTGGGCACGTAACAAACTGTAAATCTCTTGAAACTCGAATATCTCTGTATGTGTACGCTATTGCCAACTCATATTTTTAATTAGTTGGTTTGATAGTGAGAATATTCATTTGATCCGACTATGATCAATCTCCTTAGATTACAGTACACGGTCTTTTTGCTCTAAGCTACATGATGGTTATGTTGTTTTTCTTTACTATGAAATACTTTTGGAAGCAAAGTATGAATTGATAAACAAAAAAAGTAAAGCCTTTTGTGCAAATATGTCAACGTGATAGTCCTTGGTTTAGAAAAATTTACTTTTTCTGATTAGTTGTCGGTTTCGGAAAAAAATTCTGATTTTTAACTTTTTCATCTAGTAATTCTGATGAAAATACCAGGAGCGATTCTTTTCTTCGTTCTTCACAAAAAGAACAAGCAAAAAGTGCATGTGTGATTTAGACGGAAGAAAAAAAAATAGAGTTACTATCTAATTCAAAAATAAATAAACAATTCTGAAAAAGTAAAATTTCAATCCCTTGACTACGTCGCTGAGTACAGGGATCTAAAATTTAACAGAAACTATCTTTGTGTCACTATTTGGTGATGAGGGTGAGTAGGTGACTTCTCCAGACAGCTTGTCACCACCTGCACTCCGCGCTTCTCCAATCTTGGCCACCTAGTGATGGGATTATTTGCTGGTAGACAGTCATTCTCGTTGACTTTCTCTAACAAAAAGTCGCAGGTATTGCGTAAAACCCTGTCTCTCTCAAAGTCTACCAGGATGGCGAAAAGTTTTGCCAGAAAAACTGTTTAAAAATGTTCCAGAAAGTCGAACACTTCAATTTTGAAGATAACTGGACGCTCCTCCTAATCGGTATTCTTGGGTGTTTAAGAAAATGTCTTGTGGAAGTAGTCAAAAGTTCAAAAAATTCTGTTAATTTATCGAGTAAGAATGAAAAATTTTCAATTATTAGAGGGAGGAATGTACACTCCTCCACTTCCGCGGTTTCTAGCTGGCGATGCAAATTCTCTTTTAATTCGCATCCAGCGCTCTGATGAATGTAAACATCTTTCTATTCTTTTTGACTTCTCTCTATTGTCTATTAGCTGTTTCTTATGTCCTAGGAGTAAGTAGGTTTCATGTGTGAGTATTATTGATATACATAAATATACACCTACGTTCAATGAATAGTTCGATAAATGTGAACATAATGGAAGCAATGAAAATAGTATCAAAAGTTCATGTATTAGCAACAACATAACAAATAAAATAAAATTGATGAATTAATAAATTAAAGTCTAGTGTAACTAATGTTTAAATAAAACTCAAAAGCTAAAAGACAAATAATCTTAGAGAATTTTTTTCAAATAAAATTTTGTGTTTTTATTGAAAAATCTTTCAATTCTAATTCTTTCCATGAACAAGAAAATAAATAACCTAAGACATCTGTATAGTGAACACTTTCATAAAAAATGATCCCAACACTATTCACATTAGAAAGACTTTATTGTACGTTGGTTTTCTGCTGAAATAAACAGTAAATTGACTGAAAGTCACTGTAAAAAATCTGTGGAACTTTCGATTCGAAATATTTCTTCCACATTCTATTGATTATCGGTGGTTTCCTGCCGAAATTGGCACGTATGTATTCATCTAAATAGTTAATTTTATGATTAATTGAAGTGAACGAATTACTACCGACATCTAACGCTCTCTATTGAAATTATTTAAACAACAATCTTTAGATGCGGATTCGTATTTCTCTTCTCATCAATGAAATTATTAGAAATTACATGATGCAATGGCACATGGAACGTTTTTCGATTTGCTTCAAAATTCATGTTAGAATTTCAAAATCCCATAGTTTTAATATAAAACCTAATGTATGTGATGATATTCTGTTTAAATTTCACAAAGTTATGTATAAAAATCGGTTTTTTGCAGACGGAAATTCTTCGTCAAGCGAAGAAAACAGTGATGATGAACAACAAATAAAAATTCCAATAGCAGAATCGTATGTTATTTCTCATGAAAGTAAAATTTTTATACTATTTGTATTAATATTATTTTCAGTTTGGTAAAATCATATCTTATTAACAATGATGATAATGATGATGCCGAAAATGTTAAACGTATTGTTCGAAGTGAAAAAGATAAACGGTAATCATACATAAAAAAATATTGAAAATGGCATAAATAATTTAATTTGATTTTGTAGATACGAAGAAATAGAAGAAAATATTAAAAAAATCGAACAAGTTATACGTATACGTGATATCAAACAAGTTTACGAATGTATGTTTCTTTGAATTATATATCTATTTGTATGATAATTGTATACATAGGTTTTGAAAATTTAATCAAAGCATATGATAAAGCTCGTCAAGTGATAGAAAAAGAACAAAGTAAAAAAGAAACACAAATTAATTAATTATTTTTTTGTATGTATTATATTATTTTGTAGTTATACCACGGTTTTATATAAAAATCTTAGTACAACTTGAAGATTTTGTTAATGAAGTATTTAATATTAATTATAAATAAATTTTATTCTTCTTTTTTTTTATTATTGATAGTGTTGGAATAATAAAGATTGGTGTAATGAATTTAATAAAAAGAATTTGAAAATACTTCGTCAATATATACAAATAGAATCATTTCAAAATGAAATAAATTCATATCGTGACGTTAGTTATTCAAAATTTTGCTTCTATTCGATTTTATTCATAATTATATTCTAGAAACCAGATGATGATGTAATTGAAATCAATGAAACTTCATCAAGTGATGATTTTTCAAGCGAAAATAATGATGCTTCAATTGATAATGAATTACCACTAAATCAATCTTACGTCAATTTTTTTCTGTATGTATGAATTATCATATTAAAAAAAAAGAAAAGAAACTTTTATATATATTTTTATTTCGAAAGTCGAAAACCTGATAGTCAAAATACAACTATTACTAAACGACGAGAAGAAGATGTAAATTTCTATTGATTTATTCTTTAAAGAGTTATTTATTGTTAAATTTAGATTCTAAAATTTGATAATGATAAAGAAATTTTAAAAAAATTAAATGAAATTCTTTCTACACGTGGTAAACATTCTATAAATTATCATGATCAATTTGAATATTTAAATAATCTTCGACAATATGTTAAAAAACAAAATTTAAGTGTTGAAATTGATATTAAAATTTTATTAATAGATATTACAATTAGTTTTGATTATCATCAAAAAGAAAATCAATATTCAAAATTTGAAACATGGAAACGGTAGAAATAGAAAACAAAAACCATTCTTTTCATCTTATTTCTTTTATTTTTAGCATCCTCGATTGTATCGAAGAATTAATAACACTAATATTCGAAAATGATCATGTAGATATGAATGAATATATAAAGGTAAAAAAAAATTACATTCCTAGGAAGCAGGAATCCGGCAGCTGACTCTGCCTGGAACTAGAAAAATCCGATCACCAGATTCCTGCTTTTAAGTTCTTACCGATTTTTTGAATTCTTCTTCAGCCGGACTACTCTACTCGGTTATGGCAGTTTCTCATCAGAAGCGAAAAAAAATTGAACATTGTATTCCTATTTTCTACCTTTCTGGAATCTTCTGATGGGGGAATCTCGCCAAGTGATTAAAAGCTTTTGAAGTGATATTGTAGGATCTGGTGAGATTAGAAAAAGCCCAAAAGGATAAGTTCCCATAGGCCTTCCATTCGGAGTTGTGACCAGTTTACTGGGTTTTCGGTCATAGCTTCGGAAGGTAGACCTATAGGAACTTATCCTTTTAGATTTCGCCTAGCCTCACCAGGTCCTGCATATATCACTTCAAAAGCTTTTAATCACTTGGCAGGATTTTCCCGTCAGTGAAAGTAACCATACATCATTCATTTGGATTTTTATGTTTATTACATAGGAAGAATCGATATTATATAATATTCAGGATGATATGATAACTATGATTCTTAAGATGAATGAAGAATTTACAAAAATTTTACGAAATATTGATTATCATAGTCAAAATTATATCGAACAATTGAAAGATGAATTTCGTATTTGTTCAATAATTAATCAAGTAAAAAATTATTTCGAATTAAAATTTCATGAAAATAATAAAATTATTCAATCAGAACATTTATGTACAATTTATCTCTGTCTCATTGAACATATTTATTATAAATATGATAAAACATCTGATCAATCTTCTATTATATTAATAGATCATCTATGTAAATATATTTATACAAATAACACTTTCAATCATGTACGTACACAAGCAAATCTCTATCATATTTATCATTTATCATTACATAATTATTATCATGAAGCACGTAATTTAATGTTAATGAGTCATATACAAGAAACAATTCATTTATCAAATATTTCAATACAAATTTTATATAATCGAACAATGGTTCAATTAGGTTTATGTGCATTTCGTTTTGGTTCAATACATGAAACACATCAAATATTAATAAATTTACAACCAGAAAATCGTATGAAAGAATTATTAGGACAAAATATTCATATAAAAGAACAACAATATTTATTACCATTTCATATGCATATTAATTTACAATTAATTGAATGTATTTATTTAATATCAGCTATGCTTATTGAAATTCCATCTATACATAAACATTCAATTAGTAAACATTTTCATATTGTAATGAGTCAAGGTGAAAAACAATTCATTTTTGAATCAATGGAAACAATGCGTGAACATATTATTGCAGCTAGTCATGCATTGAAAATAGGTGATTGGAAAACATGTGTCAAGTATTTAATTAATGATAAAATGAATAAACAAGTAAGTTTATCTATAGAAGATGAGAATAATTTCGAAAATAAATGGATTGTTAGTTGAATACAATAATTTAACGGAAAAAGGAAGAATTTCTGTCTCTTGGCTAACAGCCAGTCTAATCCAGAGTTCTTGTACTCAATTGCCTATGCTCCCAAAACATATTAACCAATCACTAGAACATGTGTATGTGAGAACGTGACGTGTAATCCGAAACAGACAGCCATCAATGACTTGTTCAGGATCATTCAATGGCCAGTAGTATCCAGTTACCTTGTGGATATGTGTCGAACAATACAGTCATAGTGACTTTTGAAGATTCATAAAACTTTCTTAAAGTGTTAATTCATAGTCGAGTCAAGACTGTATGTATCATATCAGGTCTAAATACTTTGAAAAGAGTTCGTGTCTTTTACTTGTTTTTGTTGAGACATTTAATTTTTTTAACAGAACGCCGGAGTCATTCTCAGATTCATTTTTAGAAAAATCGACGTTCAAGTTTCTATTTGAAACTTTGTATATTCCTAGATAAGATTAAAAGAAAAGTATTATTTCCACATCAATTATAATACGAAATGTCTCATATTCATATTACAAGACTAACAAGAACCCGTGCATACTCCACGAGTATTTCTTCCTTTAACGTATGACCTTAGACGTTTAACTTTTCATCTTCGGCCTTATATTCCTTGTAGCTCATGCAGTATTATCTCCTTATTGCTTTATCCCATATTATCTATCCCCTTACTACCTTATTCCCTTGAGGGCTTATGGGTATCCTAATATAGTAGCCCTTGGACCTTCCGCTTATCTTATTTGACCTTTGACCGTTGACTCGGCACAGACAAATAGACAGACACTGAACATTATATAGATAGATAGAGGCAACCAAGACAGTAGTGGAAGCAGGATTTTGATGATGTAGGGCGATTCGATGGAGGCTAAGAACGATCGCTCTCTAAATGTGCCACTGAACCAAGAACTTCGGAAATCTTCAGAATAAATTACTATGATTTAGGACGTTCTCTGGACAAAGTTTCAAGTGGAAATTCGATAATTAATGTTTCACAGTGAACCTGAGCGAACACTGTTCCGCTAAAAAATGCCGTTGAAATTAAATATTTTAACAGAAACAAGCTAAGAGTATGAACTCTTTTTAAAGTACGGACAATACAGTCACATAGAATGTTAAGGCACTTACTTTTTCGAATTTATATAGTGTATAACTTTTCTACAATGAAAATTTTATTTAATATATTTAGATATGGAATTTGATGCCACAAGGAACCATAATGTTTGAAATGCTTATAAATAAAATAAAACAAGAATCATTACGTATTTATTTATTTACTAATTCTATGATCTTTGATTCTATTTCAATATCAAACATAGCTGATATGTTTGAATTATCAATAAGACAAGTTTATGAAATTATTTGTAAGATGATTATTAATGAAGAATTAATGGTATTTGAATTTTTCTATTTTTTATTGATAAACATAGGATGATTAATTTAATGTTTTTCTTTAGGCTTCAATTGAAGATTCAAATCAAATTGTTATTCTAAATCAAAATAGATTATCACAAACACAAATTCTTTCAAGTGAATTGATGGAAAAAATCTTTCGATTATACGAACAAAATCAAAAGTTGAATCATTTTTATTCACGATCAAATCAATAGCTTTTAAAATAAACTATAGTCTATGATTATAATTATTATTTAATCGTGATTTTTTTGTTTTTTTGAAATAAATTTTCTTATTTTTTATTTTTTGATTGTTCATTAAGATAAAAAAAAAAAAGGTTTTTGGTTTAGATGATAATTAATAGTAGATAAATTATGTTTCGATTAGCTCAGTATGCTCTTAGAGGATCGCATCATGCGATTAAAAAATCATTTTTATATTCAAGTAAGATCGAAATTCTATGATATTATTTGTTTTATTCTTTTTGTTTTTCTAAAGATGTTCGAATGTATCTATCAGATGCTTATCAAGCATTTGATAAATGGGATGAATCATTATCAAGTGAAATTCTACAAAAAACAAATATTAGTATGTATGAACAGATTAATTGATAAAATTGATTCTTTTCTTTTTTTTTTTTTGTAAAGGTGAACTTTTGATTGATGTTGAAGATAAATTAATTAGAAAGAAATATGTTAGTTCACTTGATATTGAAATTGTAAGTATTCATATCAATGAATAGAGCTCGTCGGGTCTAAGATTTGCGAACTCAAATCATACTTCTAATTTTTTTTAATCTGAATTTGATATGATCTTATAATAATCAAGTGATCATTGGGCAGCTCTCGGACTTGGACTCGATAGGATCCGGTTTGATGAGATCTATATTTGAATATATTTGTTGTTTTTAGCTTGCAGCGAAACTAACTCATGTTGAAACGACTGAAGATCTTAAACTGGCAGAAACAATTTTAGAAAAGTAAGAAAATATTTTTTTTGTATGTTTATTTGAATTTAATTTTTTGATATGTTATTTAGATTTCGTCGTACACCAGAAGCTCTTGAATTTCAGCCTTCATTAGCTTATTCACTTGTTCGTAATTATCTTGATCTTGGTCAAAAGGAACGTTTATTACCTATTTTACATGATAAAGTTAATAAAATTAAAGACGAAATTATTTATAAAGTTTTATAATTTCATTTGTTAGGTTAAATATGGAATTTTTCTTGATCGATTTTCAGCTAATCTTTTATTAAATGCATTTTTACTTGAAAAAAAATACAAAGGTAAAAATAAATTGAGTTTTGTTTTTATTATATAGAAAATTCTAAAATAGAAGCTGCACAAGTTTGTACAGATCTAATGTTACAAGATGAAGGTGATGATCAATTAACAGGTGCACTTGGTTTAAATGCATGTTATAATTATTATTTAATAGCAACCGATGAAGATTTTAAAAGTACACAAATAGAAGAAGAAGATGAAGATATTGTATGTTAATTGATGAAATATCTTATTTGTTTTTTTGTTTATTTATTTTTTAGGTTAAAGTAAAAGTTAATTTTGTTCGTAATCATACAAATGATGATCATTTTGATTTAACTGACAAACGTAAATTACTTGGTAAAACGATAGCTTATTTAAGTCGAGATGCAAATAATAGTAGTATTATTTCATTACAAGTAAAAGAAATTTTTTTAATTATTTAGAAATTCTTTTTTTTTGTTCTTAGATTTTGGGAAATATTCTTTATAAAAAATTTGGTCGTGTATGTGATTCACTTCAAATAATATTAAATAATGATCAATTACAAGTTGATGAAACAATTGTAAATGAAAATCTTTTTCTAATTTTTTTCATTATTTGATTTTTTTTTGTGTTTAGATAAAAATTTTGGAAAAAGAACTTGATGAATATGTTTATAATCCAATTGAAGCAAAAGAAAGTTTACCTCAAAGTCCTTATCGACATTTAGAATTAATTCCTGAAGCTGCACGTGACATTATTAAAGTATAGAATCAAAAAAATTATATATGATTGAAATAAATTAAATAATTTAATTTTTTTTTGTAGGAAAAACTTTTACCTCAATTTCGTCAAAAAAATAAAATTATTTCATTAAATCTTAAAGAATTTGTTGAAAAAAATCTTATTGAAATAGCTACACTTGCTGATAAATATGATACAAAAAAACATGAACAACAAATATCAATATGGACACGTGAAAGACAAGAACAACTTGATGATCAAATTCGTCGTTTTATTATTGACCAAAAAAAACTTAATTTAATTGAACGTCTTCGTTTATTAGAAGAACGTGATGAATTATTAAATTTCTTTGAAAATGAATCAAAAATTATAATGCATTCACAAGATAAAGCATTTGCTGATGAAAGTTTTGAAAATATTCGTACACAAGGTGAACATGAATATTTTGAATTAGCTCGTCAACATTATCATTGGGATCGAATGGAACCACGTCGTTCATTACATCTTGATAAAAAATTACGTGATGAAGAAATGAGTGATGTAAGAAATTGGCCACCATATAAATATCTTGCTGAAAATTGGAAATATGATCTTGCTGATTATGTTCCATTAAATGAAAAAATGAAACGTCGTAAAGAAAATTTACCTCCAAGTGGAAAACCTCCCTATTACAAACAACACTTTTTCTAATAGATTAGTTCTGATTTTTTTTTCTTTTTCAATTGTTGCTTGTTTTTTTTTTGATAGAGAAAATAAAAAGAAAAACATCATGTTTTATTGACACGTTGTTTCATGTAACTACTTAATTCAAACAGTAGTGTTTAAAGAGAAGCTAAAATATGCTAGTGTTTAATTTATATCAAGGTAATCTACAAGACGTTTTTATTTATGAAACAAATCTTCCATGTTTCGGAAAAAAATTTGCTAGTACAAATATTTCGAAAGATAAAATCTTATGAAGATGTTGAATAGTCACCATGTTATCGGTTGAATTTCACTTTGTATAAAACAATGATATCTTGAAACTTTCGCTTCTTTATAAAATTTTAAAAGATTGTAGAACATATGTATCACATCATATGAAATACGTTGATATTAGGAATACCAATTGTTAGTACAATTTAAATGTATGACACATTAACAATTTTATTTAATAGTTGTCTCTGATTTCATGAATAGTCCAACTCCTCTCTTTTTACTAGATTACAGAGAAAATTTCGAGTTTTCTATACTCCAGTACAATTTTTCTCTCGATTGACTAAACTCAATATTAGAGCCTGTCAGATTGGTTCTGGTTCAGGACTTATCTAACGGATTATAATCTAAAAGTGAGAATCAATTATGACTTGCTTATCATAAGACCATCGAGGATGTGAGTGTATGGGTGTCGATGCAGAGAAGACTAGCAGCACACATTCCATGCCTCACAACCACACTAGGGACCTGAGGAGCCACGATTTTTTATTCCGAAATCCGACTCTGACTCCGAAAAATTTTTTTTTTATGAGGGTGTGAGTGTGGATGTGGATGTGGCTATTGTCATCTACACCCACACCCACCCCTTGACTAGAAACGATGCCGAAGAAGAGTCACTGGATGTCATACATGTGCCCGATGCGAAAAAAAACTGTTGATATGTTCCTGACAGATATCCTAACAGACCACGTACGAGGTATCAACGATAGATGGATTATGATCAATAATTTGACCGTTTAGTTGAATTTGAATATTACCACAGATCCACTCAAATCAATCATTTTTGGATGGTGAAGGTGGTGGTGATCGTACTAATGGGGAGAAGTAGCGGTGGTTTGAACGAGTATATAATAGCTTCAAGACCGCGTGATTCTGACACTTTGACTTTATTATTCTCGGATGGAAAGCTGGCGTGCGTATCTATAACAGAGATGATACCGTGTTT